ATTAGTCCTTTCCCATTGTGTTTTTCATATCGTGAGACGGACAACTGTTAACAAAGAAGATACCACATCAGTTGAGACACCACCTATTACTGGGACTCCTTTACAGAACATTTTTTATCTTTCTACCAATTTTTTATTTTTTTTTGTTTTATTTATTTCCTGTGGCGCAGCCTTTTTTCTGTTTTTGTGTATATTCCTTCTATAGAGGGTTAGAGGGTGACCCCCTATTAGGTTGCTGCCTTTTATTTTATTTTATTTTATCTGTTTTTATTATTAGCGCTAGCCGTTTTAACTCTTTTTGTGTAATACTGTTGAGTAACTAAAAAAAAGAGGAAACATTGTAGATGACTAATTGAAAAGTACCTAAAGTTTCTCTCAATGTGTCGAGGGGTCATAGAGAGACATTGACTTATGTTAGTTATAAGCAATATTGAAGCGTTGGACATTTAAAGGACCAGTATAGTGCCAGGAAAACATACTCGTTTTCCTGGCACTATTGTGCCCTGAGGGTGCCCCCACCCTCAGGGTCCCCCTCCCGCCGGGCTCTGGGGTGAGGAAGGGGCTAAACTCACCTCTTTCTCCAGCGTCGGGCGGAGAGCTCTCCTCCTCCTGTCATCGGCTGAATGCGCAAGCGCGACAGGAGCTGCGCGCGCATTCAGCCAGTCCATAGAAAAGCATTAACAATGCTTTCCTATGGACGCTGGCGTCTTCTCACTGTGAAAATCAGAGGGAAGAGCACACAAGCGCCTCTAGCGGCTGTCAATGAGACAGCCACTAGAGGCTGGATTAACCCATAGGTAAACATAGCAGTTTTTCTGAAACTGCTATGTTTATAGAAAAAAAGGTTAATCCTAGCTGGACCTGGCACCCAGACCACTTCATTAAGCTGATGTCTGGGTGCCTATAGTGGTCCTTTAAGTCTATAAAGTCTATTCACGCACTTCAAATATGACTTGACACAGTATCTAGTTATTATTCGTCTCTCACAATAGATATTTATAATCTGAATTGTGTATTACCAGCTTTCTGATAAATTGGTGTACGGCCTATTGTGGTCTGTTAGCACACACAGAGCATTAATGGTCACAATAATGTATAATGCCACTGGATGGAACACTTGTAACCAGCACAGGGCTTCTAATTGTGATAACTTAGCGAAGGCCGGGATATTTATTTCCAATTATATTATTTGTATCGGGGGCTGAAGCCTTGGCAGTGCTGCTGTGGTACAATGACTGGGCAGGCCGTACACAGACGCCGGCCTAGCGGTGACATAATGCGATGTCAGCTCGCTGTCACACCCAGGCCCAAGATGGCCGCCGGCTTCGTACCCACAACTGCAGAACGTTCCAGCCGTGCTGCCGCAGCGCAAAATGTAGGACTGCCCAGCCTTCCGTATAGCCCCGCCCCTCTCTGGCCTCGGCCATGCCCATACCGCAGCTTGGCATTCTGGGAGATGAAGTCTGTTTAGCGCTTGCCTTTGGAACTTTTCCGCCGCAGGACTACATTACCCGAAATGCCCTCCGCTTGGCCACACCCTCGGTCCTTGTGCGCAAGCCTAGTGCTGCTTTGCCCGGACTCCCCCGCTGCCCGGCTGCTTGTTTTTCTGAGTTGAAGAGCCGCAGTGGAAGAGATAGGAGTGGAGCCTGTCACAGCACCTATCCTCAGCCCCCTCATTGAAAACCATCCAGGTAATGGGGGTCCTGGCACACTGTGCTGGCTGTATGGAGGAATGACTGCCTCCATTGTAATACTGGACTTATTAGAGGTCATTTACCGCTTGTCACCCAGTGAGTGACTCTCAGTGGGGCCTCTGTCACCTCACATTGAGGGAGCAAGGATTGTGCTCATTATGGAGGTGGCTGTGTGCTGGTATTCCGTGTTGCAGGACCATCACTCTGGGGAGTATGAGTATCCTTGTCCTGGAGCTCATAGCTTTGTAGAGAAGATCCCCCCCAAAAAAAAATCTCTTTGTAAAGCTAACCCCCAAAATCTCTTTGTAAAGCTAACCCCCAAAAATCTCTTTGTAAAGCTAACCCCAAAATCTCTTTGTAAAGCTACCCCCAATCTCTTTGTAAAGCTAACCCCACCAAAATCTATCTGTGAAGATAACCCCCAAAATTCTTTGTAAAGTTAACTCCCCAAAATCTCTTTTGTAAAGCTAACCCCCAAAATCTCTTTGTAGCTAACCTCTGCAAAATCTCTTTGTAGTTAACCCCCAAAATCTCTTTTGTAAAACTAACCCCCAAAATCTCTTTGTATAACTCCCCCAAATCTCTTTGTAAAGCTAACCCCCAAATCTCTTTGTAAAGTTAACTCCCCAAATCTCTTTGTAAAGCTAACCCCAAATCTCTTTGTAAAGCTAACCCCCAAATCTTCTTTGTAAGCTAACCCCAAATCTCTTGTAAAGCTAACCCCCAAATCTCTTTGTGTTAACCCCAAATCTTTTTGTAAAGCTAACCCCAAATCTCTTTTGTAAAGCTAACCCCCCTAAATCTCTTGTAAAGCTAACCTCCAAATCTCTTTGTAGTTAACTTCCCAAACAATGTAAAATCTCTTTGTAAAGCTAACCCCAAACAAATATCTTTTGTGTTAACCCCCACAAAACAAATAAATCTCTTTGTAAAGCTAACCCCCCAAATCTCTTTGTAAAGCTAACCCCCCAAATCTCTTTGTAAAGCTAACCCCCCAAATCTCTTTGTAAAGCTAACCCCCCAAATCTCTTTGTAAAGCTAACCCCTCAAATATTTGTATAGAAGACCCCCCAATCTCTTTGTAGAGCAGACCTCTCCCAAATTTTTGTAGAGCTGACCCCGTTCTTTTTTTGTAGAACAGAGACCCCCTAATCTTTCTTGAGCAGACCGCCCCTCCCAATCTGCATGAAGAGCAGACCCCCACATCTCTTAGTACAGTAGACCCCCCTCTTTAACTTTGTCTCTATATAGAATGTTATTCTCCCCCCTGACCCAGACAGGAACAGCCCCCAAATCTCTTTAGATCAGACCCCCAAATCTCTTTGCAGATCAGACCCCCCAAATCTCTTTGCAGATCAGACCCCCAAATCTCTTTGCAGATCAGACCCCTCAAATCTCTTTGTAGATCAGACCCCCTCAAAATCTCTTTAGCCAGATCAGACCCCCTCCAAATATCTTTTGTAGATCAGACCCCCCTCCAAAATCTCTTTGTGATCAGACCCCCTCCAAATCTCTTTGTAAGATCAGACCCCCCCTCAAAATCTCTTTGTAGATCAGACCCCCCTCCAAATCTCTTTGTAGATCAGACCCCCCACTCAAATCTCTTTGTAGATCGGAGCCCCCCTCCAAATCTCTTTGTGGAGTCAGACCCCCCTCCAAATCTCTTTGTAGATCAGACCCCCCCTCCAAATCTCTTTGTAGATCAGACCCCCCCTCCAAATCTCTTTGTAGATCAGACCTCTCAAATCTCTTTTGTAGATCAGACCCCCTCCAAATCTCTTTGTGGAGTCAGACCCCCCCTCCAAATCTCTTTGTAGATCAGACCCCCCCTCAAATCTCTTTGTAGATCAGACCCCCCTCAAATCTCTTTTTGTAGTCAGACCCCCCTCCAAATCTCTTTTAGTCAGACCCCCTCCAAATCTCTTTGTAGATCAGACCCCAAAATCTCATTTGTAGATCAGATCCCCAAAAATCTCATTGTAGATCAGGTCCCCCAAAATCTCATTGTGGAATCAGACCCCCAAATCTCATTTGTGATCAGACCCCCCCAAAATCTCATTGTAGATCAGACCCCAAATCTCATTGTAGATCAGACCCCCAAAATCTCATTGTAGTCAGACCCCCAAATCTCATTTGTAGATCAGACCCCCCAAATCATTTGTGGGTCGGGCCCCCAAATCTCATTGTAGATCCGACCCCCCCAAATCTGCATGAAGAGCAGAACCCCATCTCTTAGTATAGCAGACCCTCCTAACAGTCTCTACACAGACTGTTATTCTCCCCCATGATCCAGACAGGAGCTACAATACCTGGCAAGGACTCTGGGGGAATTAATTCCATAGATAGTGCTTTATGACAGTCTTGAATAAAAATACTCCTGGGCTGGTGATTCAGCCTTATACATTTATTGCGAATAGAACTCCCATTACCTGCAGCCCTACTGGCTGAGAATATTACAGTAAGTAGCTACTAAAAGGCTGGAGTGCCTCTCCTGCCTGCCCCTGGTTATAAATGGAGATTCCTGTCTGGGCATGTCTCAGCCACTGACTGAATTTACAATATACAATGGGTTAGGTTGTTTGCAAGCTGCCTGCTAGGGATAAAGACCTGAAACCTATAGGTACAGTCCTACTGGTGTCACCTGTCAGAGGCAGGTGTGATGTACTTGATTTACTGTTATTTTTGCTGGTACCCTTTATGTTTGTTGAAGTTCCAATTGCCTAGCAGCAGAGGGAGCTCTGCATTTTGAGGATTGCAGATCTTTTAGTGATCGAGGGTGGTACTTTTTGTCTTAAGACTTTTACAGTACATATGTGAGGGTTGTTGGCAAAACCTGATTAATTTTACGTCTCATTTTGAGGATAAAAATGCAAAATTCCTATTTTTGTTTTTTAAATCTTATATTAAGTTTTTCAAAGAAAACATACATTGCCAGGTCATGAAGAAGTTATATAAATGTTTGTGTTTTCCATTCACTGTACTATTTAATCAGTCAAACGTGTAGATAAATATAGAATTTGCCATAACACAAATCATAATTAGGTGTTACTTAGAGCAATTCCATTACTACAATCGGGTTAAATCAAACTGGTAAGTAAATATAAAGGTTTTTATGACAAAAGTCATATTTATGTGTGTCATTGTACTATGTATCAAGCTGTAGGGGCTTATGCCTACTTGAAGCCCATAATTACAGTGGTTTGATCTAGTATTCTAGTGTATAGGATATATCTAGTTTAACAAAGCTGTGGTGGTTGCCGCTTTCTTGTTTGAAGACCTTAGGACAGGGGTCCTCAAACTCCGGCCCCCCAGATGTTGCTGAACTACAACTCCCATGATTCTCTGCCCATCCGTGTAATTCAAAGAATCATGGGAGTTGTAGTTCAGCAACATCTGGGGGGCTGGAGTTTGAGGACCCCTGCCTTAGGAGTTGTATGGGTTTATTCCCTGGCAGTGCCGGCAACAGTTCTAGAGTACCTGTTTAGGTTTCCAGCCCCCCTCAGATTGGAGATAAAAATGTTAGTGTTTAATATTCTTGTATTATCTAGTGGTATATGTCTATGCAAATTCTTTAGCTAATCCAAACAGTCATTCAACTTGGCTATGTAATCAATATAGCTCCCCTCATGCAGAGAACTGTGGGTTGGGTTTAATAATTGGACATGGGTTCAATTTTAGTTCAATTATTAAAATGTGATACGCTCTAAGTGCTTTAAAATTACATTCATACTTTATTTTTTGAAAAATATTTATTGGAATTTCATCCATTGGTATTCTCATGTGAGGTTGTGTTACTCAACCAAAGTGCGTTCTGTGTGTGCCTGATCTTCTGCTTGCTGTTCCACATCTAGTTGACGGTGATGTCATTGTTCTGCATCAAACATAACACAGATGAGGAACTGATTTAATCCTCCCTTTCTTGTGACAAAATCTTTGCACAACTAGGTCAACTAGCATTTTAAGCAATGCAGTAACGAAGAACATTTTACTGTTCTAATCATTGATGTTAAAATGACTGCAATTGTTTAGGTACAGTTGACAAATGGACTTGGCCAACCTGCGATTTATTTTTGTATTTCCTTTCCAATGTTCGTTTTGTGCAGCAGTTATTTGCAGGTTTAATTAAAGGTAAAACATTTTCATTGACAATTGGAAATACATTCTGTGCATGTCTTTTGTAAGTTTCTATGTATATGTAGTTGTGATATTGCAAAATAGTAAACCGTGCTAAAGGCTTTTTTTTTTTTTTTTTTTATAACCTACCCGGTAGATATCTTTCTGATGGTTTTTCATGAGCTTTTTTTTTAATTTATTTTTTTATTTATAACTGTAGACCTTTGCGAGAAAACATCATCACTTGAGGTGCTCAATGGTAAGAGGAGATGAAAGACTTAGATTTAGGAGTGGAATATGTTATACCCAGCCTTGGGTACAGAAATGTTCGGGAGCCAAGCAATCAAGATGAGAAAACTGAAGACTTCAAATACCAAAAATCTCAGGTAAAGTGCACTTTTAAATGCTTTATTTTTTTCAATCAACATCAGAGTAGGTCAAAAACATACAAAATAGCAGTAGTTACATGAGTTTATACTATCATATTAATATGGTATTAATATAAGAAATGCATGGTGGATGAGATTTTAGAAAATAAAGTAGTAAAAAAAACTACAGTAAACGAAAAATAAAAGCTAACGTTCCTATCCCTCAGGGGGCATTAGACGATTTCACTGAGTAATGATGGGCATCTAGGAGTACTATCCTCCAAAAGGGATTCTCCTCCCATCCAGGGCTTTACATTTTAACAGTGAGTGCATTATTAGGTGCAGTAATGCATCGTCCTGTAGGCTGGTATACTACATGTGGTTCGCAAAAGCAAAAAAGAAAAAATGCACTGAACTAAACAGACTAAAATGACAAAAGAAACACAAGAAAAAACTGCCCTGCATGGCACATAAACAACTGTGGTCTTCAAGAGTGGTCCTGGGTAGCACATCAAAGTCGAGGCTCAAGATCATGTACTTTCAGGTTGTTCCTGTTGGAGGCGTTTGGCGCTGAGTTGTGCATGGAATAAACTCCAATATAGTGGAATGGTCTAAATGTGTAAGGCCTGATTCATCCACTCTTGAGGGTTACACCAACCCAAGTTGCTGTAGTATAAAGTCTAGCTCTAGGATAGTCTTCACCTGGTATGAAGTACCCAGGTGTGTGAAGATAAGTCATTTTGGGATCCCCTTGTTTGTATTTTCCTTTGACAAAGAATTTGTAGTAGCAGCTGCAGGGCCCTACGCTATGCGACAGTGCTTCTGGTAAGATCTAGGAAGAATGATAGAGAGGAGCCCTCAAACATCAAGCAAGTGTGCCCGTGAACTGCTGCCATTAGAAGGGTCTTGTCCTGGAGGGACTGAAAACATTTGATCAGGTCTGGTTGTGCTGCCGGTGGTGCTGTAGCCTGTCTCGGCAAATGGAACATGCCATCTAATTTCACAGCTTTAGCTTGTTTTGGTGATGCAACATGTGGAGCAGGCGTTGAAAAAAGTGAGGTAGGTCGGTTAGGCCAATAGAATCCAGTATGCCATTGATTTTTCAGATTATAGCGCCTTCCTTGATTTGGGCCTCCGTGACTGTTTCCCCAGTGGGAGGTGGCTTGGAACTGGGCACAGTCGGCAGTATTGCCGGTGTTCCTTGCTTGGGTTGTAAAGGATGTCTTCTGAGGTGCAGGAGGCTTCATGTTCTCCCATTGTGCATTTTGCCCTAATCGGACTTCTAAGAGTCTTGCAGAAGTTCACCAATATCCCTGTTTGTTGGGCTCTTGTCGGCTCTGTTTTTTATTTTTCCTTCCCATGTCCTCTCCTTACATCTAGGGAATGGTTGTCTAGTTGGGTGAGTGCCCTGTTTTCCACCGTAAAACAAATATTTTCGTGCGGCAAGGCACAGAGCTGCTAACTCTGCCCCAGATAAGTGCCTTTTTATTTAACACATCATTGTGTTCTCAACCACAATTTAAACTGTTTTACAACTTGGCAGTCTTAAAATATAGTTTGCCCCCTCTGCTAAAAAGTATATTTCAGTTTAGCAACTCTGACTGTAAGAAATGTAGTGTGATACTATCTTTCAACATGTGTTAAGGATTGAATATATAGAAAAGAGACACATTTAAATAAGGTTTATATTGTCTCAGACTACAGTGTTGTGTAGAACCACAAACAGAATTGGGATACGGCTGTATAATCTATAAAGAGAACATATAAAGAGAAAACACAATAGTGTAATACAGTATATACAGTGAATCATGCGCTTTAAATGGATGCACTCACAAGATGATGGAAATAGAAGAGCGTTCATAAGGTGCCTCCCCTGATAATATGGGGGGCTGGTAATTCCCCTTGTCAATGTAGAGCAGCCAATGGGATACGGGACTCCAGGTGAGTAGTAGTAGAAAAACCAGTAATTTTATTTTCTTAAAAAGGTGAAAAACACCATAAGAATAAAAGTTAAAAGTGCAGCAATAGGTCCAACGCGTTTCGTTCAGACAGGAACTTCATCAGGGACCGCACAGTAAAAAATCACAAACAATATCACAGATTGTAAAATAATACATCCTACTCTCCCCTTAACAAAATCTCTATAAATAGGGCTAATCCCAGTGTCCCATTGGTCCATAATATGGGAGTTGTCCAGTAGCCAGCTCTTCATTGGTCCTGGGGTGATGTCCTCCAGCTGATGATATTTTCGGCATTTAGATGCTTCAAATTGGGCGCCTTCAGTAAAAAAGCCGAAACCGGAAGTGGACGTAATCCTTTACTTCCGCGTTCCACATGCGTTCAGTCATTTTCTCTTAGCCACATCAACAGGGAGCCAGCAGTACAAATGATCACAGAAACGGCTAAATAGCCAAAGAGTAACAAATTAACTAAATACAATTAATCTCTAAATTAAAAAAGAAAAATGAATTAGTGTATTAAATATACAACAACCTTATCAAACTAGTTCCTCCAGAACTTAAGCTTGTATTTTACAAGTATGTGTATCAATATCTTACACCGTTGCATAATTCAAACATATCTGGTTAAAGTGACAGACACCTCCTTACTAAATAGAGAATAAAACATGATCAATTCTTTCCTATAAATGTTCTCTCAATACATCAAATAATTATTGTTTTATAATATATAGCTTAATTAGTAAACATAACTGTATTATATAAAACAAACTTTTTTTTATTTTTTTAGTTATGTGTACTAATTAAGCTATATATTATAAAACAATAATTATATATTCACGTATGTTGGAACATGCAAGCCGATTTTAAAATTATCCTGAAATTTTTTTTAATTTTTAAGTATTATAACAGAGTCCAACCACCTAAAACATTTGTTGTATCTTGTATATTTTTTTTTATTTGCAATATTTTAGCTAAACTCTGCTCATTTCCCTTGTGGATGTTTGACACGTGATAAAAGCACAATTGAAGTGTAACTCTCATTTAACACTGTGCTTTCAACCATGTAAAAGTTTCTCTGCAGGTACGTAATAAACCTTAAAGGACCACTCTAGGCACCCAGACCACTTCAGCTTAATGAAGTGGTCTGGGTGCCTGGTCCAGCTAGGGTTAACCCATTTTTTTTATAAACATAGCAGTTTCAGAGAAACTGCTATGTTTATAAATAGGTTAATCCAGCCGCTAGAGGCGCTTGCGTGCTTCTCATTGTGAAAATCACAATGAGAAGACGCAAGCGTCCATAGGAAAGCATTATGAATGCTTTCCTATGAGACTGGCTGAATGCGCGCAGCTCCTGCCGCGCATGCGCATTCAGCCGAGGAGGAGGAGAGCTCCCCGCCCAGCGCTGGAGAAAGGTAAGATTTTAACCCCTTCCTCTCTCCAGAGCCCGGCGGGAGGGGGCAGCCTCAGGGCACTATAGTGCCAGGAAAACGAGTGTTTTCCTGGCACTATAGTGGTCCTTTAACTCTTGTTCTGGAGAAAGTGTAAGAAAATGAATCGATCTAAAGCTCACTCAGAGCATTTGGATAGCTTACATGCATTTTAAAGCCTAAATTAAAGTCAACTGCAGCTTATTGTATTTGTTCTGGTGAGTAGAATTATTCCCTTCAGGCTTTTTTTTTTTTTCTGTGAAAACTGTCTTTTCAGAGAAAATGCAGTGTTTACATAACTTCACTGGCCACTCCTCAGATGCCTGCTAGAGGTGCTTCATTGGGAAGTGCTGCACATTGAGCAGCACTGCCATTCAATATATCCACCTTCTGCATGCAGACACTGAACTTTCCTCATAGAGATTTAGTTAATCTCTATGAGGAGATGCTGATTGTCCAGGACTGTGTTTGACTTGTGCTGGCTCTGCCCCTCATCTGCCTAGTTGACAGTCTCAGCCAATCCTAGGGGG